CGCGTCCTCACTTCGCCCAGAAGTGGGCGACCTAACAAATGCATGGTTGCTGAAGCGCTCTCGCACAGGCAGCTCTTCCAGGGCAGCCCTTTGCACCCCATACGCGAAACGGAAATTCCCGGTGCGCACGTTGCTATGACCGGAAAAGGGTCCAGCGAATGCACGGCCAGCAGATCCAGGTGCTCACCATCGCTGCGGTAAGCAAACGCCCACCCACCCACACCCAATCGTACACGCACATGTAAACATACATGAAGTGAGTGTGTGTGTGTGTGTGTAGAACGACTCAGGGCGGCGGCTGCCTGGATCCTGGAACCTCCAGACCTGACCCCCTTCCCATTAGCATCCCAATAGCTTTTTGATGCCTTGGTCATTGTACGGCTGTCAACACGAAGACAGCCAACTCAAGCTTGAAACAGCAGGTACGCCAAGCTGCTGAATTTCGCTGTCCCTGAACGGCCGCACACTTGGGGCCCTGCGAAAGCCAATCCAAAGGGAACTGCCTGTTTCTGGCTATGTCCGGTCCGGCTTGTTCTTTTCTGAAAAAGTCTTTCATACTTCACCTGCTAAGCTACGGCTTATTATCGAATTGAGTTGTCTCCCTGCTAGATTTGAATATTGCATCAAAAGACCCACGGCCCATCTTTCTTCTGCAATGTATAGCCACCCAATATCGAGCCCCTCATCCTTTCCTGAAGTTTTGATGAAGCTTCAGCCCATCCCAACCTCCTGAAACCTTGTTCTTTCCCCCACCCTTGAAATCGCGAAAGAAACTCAATTCCGCTGGCGGTGCTGCAGCAAATATTGCAATCTCAAAAACGAATCTTGAAAAACTGCCTGCCGTGCGACGAAACTATGAACCGGCTTGAAAACGCAGGGTTATGAATAATATCTGCCGATGTTGTACAATGTGTTCCGCGCAAACGGAAAATTTGCCAAAATGCCCACTCTCTGCACGGAAAAATGAAAAATCGAGTGCTTTTTCCGTGAAAAACCAAGCAAAAGTTACAATGTTCCAATCCACCCCCCGAGCCGCCCCCGAGCCACCCCAAACCAGTCTTGAAGGAAGTTGAACAGCTTTTTGCGATTTTTTCATTTTGACACATTTTAATTGATTTTGCCAGATTTGCGATGAAATGTGGATTTGGGCAGTCAGATAAGGGACTGCCAAAAAATGCGCTTGTGTCGTTTCTGGCGTTTTCCAGACTGCAAAATTGCAAGATTTACGGTCTGGTATCTCGTGCTTCCGTGCAGCCTCGTCATTTCCAGACCCATCCCCTGTTTGGATACGCTAGTTAGATCTTGCGATTCGTACACACCCACAACATTGGGGAGACATTCATCGTCTTAACGTTATGAGTCCAGGCGCACTTTGTAGAACTGCTGTCTTCCTTGATAGCGCAGCCCTGAAAACCCGTGCCACATCAGATGGTGGTGAAGGTGATGTTGGGACTGCCACGCTCTTGGGATGCGAGTTTCACAAGCCAAGATGTCGGTCGGTCTCTGCAGGGGCCTGGCCTGTTGGACATCTAATCCCGGGAGAAATCTCTCCAAGCTGCAGACATGCCTGACGGCCAAGACAGCACCAAAGCAGCTTACGACTTAGACAGACACCCTCTCAGAAGTTTCGTGCATTTTCGTGCCTCTTTCAACTCAGACCCACCCACGGCATGGACACGTCCATCAACAACCTGCATTCGCACGCACACAGAAATGGACGAGGCCACTAGGAGAGCTTGCTTGGCCTGCTGAGCATAGAACATTCCGCTGCCAGCTTCCATGCCACACCACCTGCAGAAGAAAACTGGGAAGAACGGAAGCCTCGATATGCTCGGATTGTATCCAAACAGCGGTGCGAGCTCCTTTGATCACTGAGCTTTGACAGTCTTCGGGATTGGCGGAGAAAGGCTCACTTACTCCACGAATCATTTACAGGCCAACATCTCGTAGCACACATTGTAATCATCAACGAGACACTGCTTTCGGCACCAGCTATCACGAAGACTTCACCACTTTCAGAGAGGGCTGACGGTGCCTGCTCTTTCAGCCAAGTGTGCGTGCGATCACGACAAAGCAATATTCGGTGGCAACAAGGTCTTCCAATTCCTGTGTACCATACACTTTGCCAGCCAGGGTGAATGGCGTTCATCGCTTGCCACTTTATGACTGTCTATGTGGTTCAAGTTGGTCCATTGAAAGCGTGAAGAACTTGCTGCCCTCTCTCCAGGCGTGATGGCTGGCGCCAGACGATTGATCTTAAGTGATGAGCTGCCGATCGGTATGTCTCGTCGGCTTGAGAATGAGCCTTAGACGTGCTGCAGAAGATCGATAATAACACGGGAAAAGCACGACAGCACCGAGAATCTGCTGAAGTAGGGAGTCCCGACACAGCAAACCGAAGTGCACGCAGCGAAACAACACCGCACTGTGCACTGCTACCTCCAACCACTCGAGCCTTGAATTCTGGAGCTCCGGAGGTGGCTCGACTTGCATCGGAAAGTATGGCAGCCGAGTCCCGACCAGGGCCTGGTGCAAACTCCAGATTTGAGGTGGATTGTGGTCTACTTGGCACCTCGTTTGCAGGATTGATCAACACATCACAGAATCCCCGAGGGGGACTCTCAACGATATCGTCGGTCATGTGCCTCGTCCCAAACCGACCGAATGCCACAGTGATGTCAGTGATATTCTGCATCTGAGAGCTGCGCAGCTGCAGCTGCAACGAGCCTAACTGCAATGACCTGGCAGCACTTGTGGGGAAACTCGCCTAATGCGCTGATTGCTTACGTGTGCTGGCATGGCATGCAGGACGCTTGCATGGCCAACCTCCTGGAGCCACGTGTGCTCCGAGCGAAGCCGCGACTGAAGCGAGTGATCGCCTCGCACAGAGTGCAGAGGCTCTGCAAGGCACCTCGGGGACTTCGCAGAGTACCTCCAGCGTGGGCATGGCACCATGGACCGGCTAAACTTGAACTGTTATCTACCGGCCCGGACATCAGCTCAATCAGAGTTTCAACGTCGCAACACCGGTCGTTCTGCTCTACGAAGGGACCTCTCTTTTGAGAGCCACGCAATCAAGAATCAGACGAAGGTGGAGGGGGGTGCCGTGTGAAGACGCGGCTTCAGCGAGCGAAGAAGGAAGGATGTGGTGGCCTGTCGTCTCGACTAATCGACGAATGACGACCGAATTTGCGAGCGTAGAGTTCCGAACTCGAAGCTCACGAGTCAACGGAATGTGAAACAAAACAAACGAAGGAAACAGAACAGCAGGCGTCCGGCGTCTTTCTTTGACCTTTAGGCTACAGATTTCTTCCCACACGACCAACATATGAGTACCCCACAGTGCAACATGCCCAGTCATCCCAGGTATCAAGATGCACTTCTGCACGTAGCCGGTTTGGAACGGGGACCCAGGTCCGCTGAGCGCAATGCAGGGATGCGCAGAGCTGCAAGTGTCAGACCCAGGTTTGTTCTTCGCAGCTCAGGGGCAGTCCTCATGCTGCTTTAGCAGCAGAGATTGCTCCCAGCCCGTGAAACGCTCTGATCTAAATCTAGAGGCGTTTGCTCTCATGTCATGCACCCGCAGCTGATCCTGCTCGATCTGCACACCCACGACAGCTAAGGCACAACAATCTTACGTGGGAAATCCTCTTAGCTTTCTTCGGTTGTGGGAGAACAGTCCGGTTCTGGAATCTTCTACCTTTTCTGTGGCCAAGTCCGGTTTTCGGACGGCAGCAGTCCGGCGATCATCAGGTGCTGTCGAAATGGTCGATGGGCACCTTACGTGTATGGCTACATACGGCATATGACACCAGAACGTGCGCCTGAATTCGGCTCATGCTGTCTGAAGTGGGTAAAACCGTCCGACAGTTGAGCACGGCACCTCTGCGGATACATCACCTCGATCCTTCGTCACTTCGAAAGCAATCGGAGCTTCATGACAAAGTCGATGCAGCTTGTCCTTCATGCACGTCATCTATGCAGCCGAGCACAGCTGCAGAAATGGCCATAGCCCAGCAGTAAGCCCTGGGCCAGCCAAGGCAACTTACTCTTTGCTGCGTGCTTCTGATGGCGCTGTTGGTGGCCCCTTCTTTGCAGAGGGCGGCAACAGTAGGTCCTGAGCGGGCAACCCTCACTTGTCATGCAGCGAGGCAGTGAGGTCTGAGCCTTTGGATTTGTGCAGCCTTTTGCGGGGATGAAGCCTGAGATCGGAGGCGTTGCTGCCGTTGGAAGGCCTTTGGCATCCTGAGTCGGTGGCTGCCAGCACTGCGGAGTGCTCCTTCCGCAGCGAGCTGGTCGTCTCGGGTTTGGCCTCACCAAGGCGCATCGGCGAAGTATGCATCAACAGAGTGGCAAGTCCTTGAGCCGCATCCGTGTGAAGGAATGCCAGTTGTGAAGTGACAGGCTGCTACAACCCCCGAGGAATAGTCACCGAAGCGGTGGTGGTGGCTTCTATCGGCGATAAAAACCCATGGACAAAGTAGGTGGCCGGCAAGCCTTTTGTTCATTCCATGTCCGCAAACCAGAGGAAAAACCCCGAAAAGCTGACTCTGTAGCTCGGCGCCGGGCTAGCTTGGGAGTCGAACGGGCAGTACTTGTCGGCGCTGGCGGCGGCTTCTTGAAGAGTCGAGGGTGGGCATCGCTCTTCGGGGATGGAGATCTGCAGGAGGGAGACTCCTCATCTTCCACCTTGTCGTCCTTCTCCCGGTCAGGCCACAAGTCCAAAAAAGCAACATCTTCCACCGTAATCAGCTTTTTGCTCGGATCCTGTCGAGAACTTGTCGGCCCGACGCACTGGAAGAGCTCCTGTGCGTCTCCACTCCATTTCCCTTTTTGGCAACAGCGCCTCAAAATATACAGGGTCAAGGTGCCGTTGCCTTCTTTGTCGAAGTTCTTGAAGGCATTCCCGACCGATCCATAAAGTCTTGAGGCCCATTGCTTAAATGACATAAGCACATTGTATATGTCCGGGCTGAACTCTTCCATGCTGATGTATCCAGAAGCATCGTTGTCTATGAATCCTGAAACACATGCCAGTGTCATGTCTGCCTAGCTCTGCTGACTCGGTGCTGACGGTCTTTAGTTTCAGCCACGGCTCTCCATGCTGCCCCAACGTCGCCTTTGAATCTGACTCTCCTGCGCTGCGATTGGCTGCGGTGTGAGGAGAGATCGCGAGAGTGACGGACATCCTGCAGCCTGCGACGAACTCCGTCCAAGAGACCTCAGGATGCCACGAGTCTCAGAAAGAGATCTCATCGTGGGCTCTGGCCTCGTTCTGGCCATCAAGGTCAAGCTCGCGCCAGGCATGTAGGGGGCTTCCTGGGCTGTAGTGGGGCAGAAGCAGATTTGGCGTCTTTCTTGCTGTTGTGGGGCCGTATCTCTCCAGAAGGATATGCTTCACCTCGTTCCATGCCTTCCAGGACAGACAGCCATCGCCAAATTGCAGGGCTCCGAAGACCTGCCTCTTCGGAGGGCTCCGATATGAGGAACAGCGGAGGCTCCTGCCCGGCATCTTTGGAGCTGGCATTGTACAACAAAAACCGGTGTATCTTGCAGGCAGCTGAGGCTGCTGTCCCAAGTATCCAGCCAGTACAAGTCAGCCTGCACAGCATCTGCCGACAAGCGAATCTACATGCCGAGTTGACGAAAGCACGCCTGTGAAACGAAGCCTGCGTTGAAAAAGTCCAGAGCTGATAGCATTTCTGCCTCACAGGTATGATAAGTCTCTTCCCTGTGCAGAGCCGGCTCATCGCGAACCATTTGCAGAATGCTTCTGGGCGTGTGTCTCAGGGTCAATGCCGCCCGACCTGATCCCCGGAGCAGATCCAGCCCAAAGCCTGCACACAGCAAAGGCAGCAGAGGCATGCAGGCCCAGACTGCTCTTACGAGTAGCTCCTTCAGCGACTCCACGAAGTGACCTATCAGCATCTTCTTCACGGAAATCAGTCGCGAGTCGCCGGAAAGTTGCGGAGAAGCACGGGCTTTCTCCTTGCTGCGAGAGGTCGCTCTGAAACTGTGGATCGTGCAGTATACAATGATACTCACAAAACCCTCGGGATCACGCCATCTCGGGAAGACTCCAGACCTCTGCTGTCTGCGCTCTCGGTGCTCTCTCTCTGTGAGAGCGTGACTGATGGGACTCGAAGAAGTGTCTGTTTATTGTTTGGCCTGCTGGCGGCCTTGTCTTGCGGACCAGAATGAGGGAACTGATACACCACCACATGCCCCTCCGCCCGCCAATGCAACAATCAAACACAGATGAACGAAGACAACCAACGAGACGAAGAATGTCCACGGTACCCCTCCTCGCATCGACTCTAAGACCGGGACAGCGCGGCAAGACCCACACTTCTTGCGGCACCAAGCCCTGTCACAAGCGGTGCACCGCCGCAAGACGCCGCTGGACGAAGCTCCAAAGTTGCCCAGGGCCTAAAGGAAGCCAAAGCCACCGCACCGAGCGGCGATATGTCTTGCAGGCTGATCTTCCCGTCGCTGTCACTTGGCAGCGCACACGTGCAAAACGATGCAGCTGCAATCTTAAGACGCCTCTGAGCTCGAGGCGAATCCAGTGTAGTCCACAACGAAGGCATGTGAACTTGATAGTCCTTAAATCATCACTGGCTCAAACACTGAAGCCTCGACCAGCCTCTGTCCATCTCTTTTCCAAGGCTTCGGCAAGTTCGTGCTGCCGACAGAAGTGCCGAAGAATCCTGAGAATCATGCTGCTGCAATGTGGCATGACTTCATGCATGTCGACCCCCGCTCGAGGAGCTTATCTGCAAATCAGGGGCAGCTTGTCCGCGAAGAAATGGCCATCGGGATCGATTCCTCTCCTCCACGCACGGGCCTTTCGAAACGTTTCTTGGATCCGACGCTCTGAGAAGGTCCGTCAGGATGGAATCAAGCAATCCCTGGAGAGTCCTGGAGCTAGTCTAGGGCTAGAAATAGGTGAACACAACTCGGCTACGAGAGCGAATGCAGAAGCAGGATCAGAATGACCAGTCAAGCTATGAGCCTAGAGTGATTCCAGTTTACCGAGCCAAGGGCGCATGACCCGTATTTCTCGCAGAGGAATTTCCTGGCCAAGAGAAGTTCTGCTTCACAGCGGCTCATGTCCAAGACATGCTGGCAGCTCAGGAACTTTGACTTCGACTGGCGCTGTGTTCTTCGCGCCTGACGCTCAAAGTCTTTCTCACACCAAAGACAAAATTGCACTTTGCAGCACCTCGCGCAAACGATGTTGACCTCGGCAGGGCGACCAAACAGAGCTCACTTGGCACATCGAGGCCTTGAATTTGCTTCATGCGCATCGTGGGCACCGACGCTGTACGATCACCAACGGTGGAAGGGCCTCAAAAGCTTTGGCCATCCACGGCCTGGCATCCAGCAAAGCGGCGATGAGCACGAACAAACACTTCCTGTGGAAACGTGTCATGTGTGTGTGTATACATAGATGAATCATAGATGCATGCCAACCCGAGCTTAGCCACTTGTCTCTAACGATGTTAAAGGCGGATGAATGATGATCCTCATGATGCACAGTGCCACCCTAAAAAGCGTGCGCCGCTTCGGCAAAAGACTAATATTCAAGCGGCACACGTGCGTGCAGGAGTGGCAACGGAGCATGCTGCAACACGTCTGATTCAGAGCGAAGCAAAGGTCTGGGTCTGCGCCAGAGCTGCGATAGTCCTTCTCCTGTTTTTGTGGTTACACTTCTCCCGCACATCCCGCACTCATGCCCCGGGCATGATGACTCCTTCTAGGTACCATTTTCAAGTCCCGCAGAAAACCGTTTGTTTGCGAGGCTCACCCGGAGATCTCAGAAGCTCTCCACTCTTCTGACGGACACGCCACCACGTTGTCACCAGTTCCCGCTGAAGTTTTTACGCCATCGTCCGTCTTGAGCTAGCTCGTCTTCGCTGAGCGGCACGGGGGATGCGGAATCAGATCCTCGCCCGAGGACCATCCCAGCGTATTCTTGATCAGGAACGTCGCCGACGTCAGTCCAGGTCCCTTGGAATAAATGTTTGTCTCCAGCATCATTCTCATCCTCAGAAATCTGCCTGATGGTGATCTGATTGTGTGAGCATGAATGAAAGTCTCGAGCCACATCTGCTGATAGTCCGTTTGTCTGCTTCAAATTTCAAATGTCCAGCTACAAACCCAGTGAACAAACGGCCTTCCGCTCAGCCCAGGCCGATTGAACATGCGGGGTGCCAATTTTTACGACGTGTGCTGCAGGTTTGCGCGCTCGGCAGAATGGAAGGACGGACGCTGAGGTTCTCGCCAGAGAACATGTTTCGTGCTGACAAGCAGAATTGGAAATCGTGCTTTGTGTTTCCAAGACATGAGGAAGATACTGGCTTTGCTTGACATTCCAATCTTGCTTGAATGTCGTACATCCAAGTATTGCTCACCAAATGTTTGCAGAAGTTTCATTGGAAGTTGAAGGTCCCATAGACCCTTCAGTCTAGAGCTTCGTGGCACCGGGCTAAGTCAAAAAGGACTGTATATAATACAGAAATATCAAAATGTCGCTCAGAATGCCAACACCAGATCAGTTCCTAACCCTGAAGCGCCAGATTGATAATCTCCAGTTACACCCTATACACAGGAAGCCACCTGGCGGACTGATTCACCTCCTACAAGCTGCGATCCCTTGACAAAACATCGATGAATCAACTAAGTCTTCAAAACCTAAGGACCGTGAAACAGAATCAATGCATCAAGTACATCTGACCCTTTTCCTCGCGAATTCAAATTCCAAATGTCGAGTTGAAAACCAGAAACTTCAGAAACATGAAGATGTCCTGGAAAAGCTCCGAAAACCTTTACCCGCAAACATCCACAGAGAAAAGGCTGCGAGAGACCCAAAGACCCAAAAGTCTCCACAAGGTGTTGCACATTCCAGTAAGCCCGCAGACCCACTACATCGCAGACCCACTACATCCGCTACAGCAGACCACTCTTCATCGCCATCGTGTGTTGGATCACTTCACATATGCTATTATGACATATGACACTTCAAAGCAGAAACGCTGGAGCCCCTTCACGACAAACCCTTCGAGGTTCCAACTCTGTGTGTGTGTGACAGCTCCCGATCAGCACAAGGGATGACACAAGTCCAACACCACATGGTCATTCTGAGCTAGAGCCGGCAATCTGTTGCCGTGAAGCCTTGCCTATGCGAGTGTGCGTCTGTTAGAGTCGAAGAATTGTCGAAACCACGTTGTGTGGCCTTGATGGACAACGCATGGGATGGGACTGCCCATCGACAAAGACACCAGCCACATGCAGTGAATGGATGCCGTCGTGCACAGCTGGAATGCCACCAACTGGGCCGGGACTCCAGCCCGGACGACGACGTGACTGGGCAATTCCAGGGTACCATATTGTGCTGCTGAATCGTCACAGGGCAAGGACCCTAGCTCTTGAGGACAACATGACGCGACGACAACACGGGTCAGTCTCCTCTTGACCGACTTTCTCCAGATGCCCGAAACCATTCAGAACACCGGAGTGTGAGTGTGTGTGTGTGTGTGCGTGTGTGTGTGTGTGTGCGTGTGTGTGTGCGTGCGTGCGTGC